GTCCTCACCTTGGGTTTCTTTTTGTCTGACAGCTCTGCCAGGCAGGAGATTGTCATCCTTGAGGGGAGGGTCTTGCTCTTGTCCTGGAGCTCCGGAGCCTCCTGGCTGCTGCAGGGAGAAGGCAGGGAGCCTCCGTCCTCAGGCCCAAGACGGATCTCTGCGTCGACGTCAAATTCAGGCTCCAGCACCGGGTCTTCCAGGAGAGGCTGGGGGTCCGGGAGAGGAGGGAGGTCGAAGAGGGACTGGGAGTGGGGGAGGAAGGGGTGGTCGTATGCAGTCTGTGGGGCAGAGTTTAGTTCTGGGAGAACGGCCGGGTTCGTTGGAGCTTGCGGTGGAGGTTTTTTGGGTTTCGGCTTTTTCATGACTTTGTAGATGTTGCCTAAAGGCACCGGCCGGTCCACAGGTGAGGCAGGGGGAGACTCGAGGGCGTGGGGGGAGGTGGAGGAGGGAGAGGGGGACTTGAGGAGGAGGTTTATGGGCCGTTTGGGCAGAGGAGGCTTGACGGCAACAGGCGGTTTGGGTTTTGGTAGAGTGGGAGGTGGGCTGGGGTTGTCGCCAAGGTCTCGGCCGTGCTGTTCTTCTTCGATGGTGTCAGAGGCTCCGTCAGGACAGTCCTCCAGGTCGCCACGAGAAACCGAGCGGAGCCGAACAGTCTTCAGCTCGTTCTGGGTAACCATAGGCAACGCCTGCGACGAACTGGGACTGATTTTTCCCGGCTTCGCTGCCGTTGAGGTGTCAGAGTGCCGCCTGCTGGCCTTTTGCTTTGGCTTGATTGAAGACAGCTCCAGATGTGCATTCCCGGGCATTTCAAAGGACAACCTCGACCTCGCCGCCGGGTCCTTGGGTGATGGTAGCGATGATTTCCTCTCTGGGATCTTGGGACGCATCTTACACCCGGTCGTCCCGACTGTGCCGGCCACCTGACTGAGAGGAACGGTTGGGGTGGGAGTCTCGGACTGACTGGAGTAGCCACTAGACGGGGACATGAGTCCTGGAGGTTTGAAGGGCGACGACGCCTTGATGTCGGTCTCCATGGAGAGCTGCGAGGGCGACGTGGCTCTGGAGGTGGATGGAGAGTCGAGAAGGGACTCGGAGCTTCCTCTGACCTTCATACATTCAATCACCGTGGTACCTGTTGCTGTGCTGGAGCCAGACAGAGACCTGGAGAAGAGAAGAAGAAGAGATGAAACCTCACTGCATTTACTTTTATGCCAAACTTGTACAGACAACTCAGTCGAGCCAACAAGCCCCAGACATCCCCGTGTCTACCTGTAGGGGTCATTGCTCTTCCACTCCCCCAGCTGCCAGTGAGTGGGGAAGGTCATCTCTGTCTCTGCCTCCCTGTCTGGCGCCTGGACCTCCAGACTCGGAGGTCCGTCATTCCCTCCGTGGCCCAGCTCCCGCTCAACAACGCTGGGTTTAGATGACGAGCTGGGCAGAAGGAAATCTGGCTGGAAGTCTGGGAAGTGGTCCCTGGGGATGTGCAGGCTCTTCGGCCGGCCATCTCGGTAAAGACTGCCCTCGTGGTGGATTCTCCCCTCGGCTTCTCCGAGGTTTTTCATGAGGGAGACGCTCCTCACAGGAGGCGGCGGCTTGCGCTTGGATTTCTTGAGCGAGATGGAGCGGGAGCGCAGGCGCAAACGCCCCTCCGTGCTGTAGTCTGAGGCTGTGACGGAGATGGTGTCGGCGGTGCTGGTGCTGTCCTCGGAGCTGCCTCTCGGGTATAAGAGGGCGTAGTTCTCACCCAGACCCAGAAAGTTGTGGTGCTCCTGGTGGTGGTTTGCTGCCATCGTGTTTCCGTTCCCTGCAGATGTGATGTGACCGTCCGTCTGGCCGATGACGCCCTCCGCAAAGCAGAAGGAGCCAGAATCTGTGGGCGTGGAAAGGGAACGCTCCCGGAACTTGAAGGCGTTCTGAGCTGCTAAAGAACGTGCCGACCTCTCCCGGCCTCTCCCCACCTCCCCGACTCCCCCGCCTCCTCCCCTCCCTCCGTCGGCTGCAGCTCCTTCTGTCTCGCTCCGCTTCCCCATCATCGCCGCCGCCAGCGAAATCCCTGGCACGTTGTTCCCCGTCCTCCCGGAGGGGTCCGTCACCGACGTGAAGGAGCTGGAGTGCGAGCTCACCGACTGTCCCGAGCCCACCAGCATCACCCCGTCCTGCGTCCCGCCTCCCGAGCCACCGATGATGGTGTGCTGCTTGGGCGGGACCGCTGGGCCTTTGTTCATGCTGTAATTGTAAGGCTCGTTCCACGCTCCGGGAGAAAAGGTGGAGCCCTTGGGTCCGTTCCAGGAGGCGGAGGGCGTGTTTGAGCACAGCAGCCCAGAGTGGTCCATAGTTCCTGGGTGGAGATGGTCCGGGGCCCGCTGCCCCAAACTGTTATCTGTGGAGGAGAAGAGGAAGGAGAATTAACACGACGGAAACAATTAGATCCAAAATGGACTGACAGTGAGCAGTAAAGGAGAACAGCTCCTGTCTGTCTCTAGTTCATATCCAAAAAGTGAACTTTGGAAACGTTCAAAAAATAAAAAATATGAATCAGGTTTGTTTATATTAACTGGTTTGAAGTCAATAAATGAGGCTGCATGGTGTTGAGAAGTTAAAAAAAAGAGAAATTGAGAGAGAAATCTTCAGGAGTTACTAAAAATGCATTAAAGCTGTAATTATTCTTTCATGTCAGCTGGTATCGGACAGGCATCACGCTGCTCAGAGAGTCGAACACAATGAAATAAACAGCTGATAAATTATGTAAATTAAATGTTGTCAGAGCTTATTCAGAAAATGTGTTTCCATCTTGTGAAGCACAAAACTCCTCAAAGCATAAAAACCTTTTTCCATTAACGTCCTCTAATGCACAGCCACAGCTTCGTTAATGGATCTTGTGTAAAGAAGTTCAGGAAGTCTGAGGTGCATTAGACGCTGTGCTGCTTCGCAACACGACAGAACATCTCGTCTGCAATGAATCTAGTTTCATCATCAGATTATAAAATAACTGCATCACGGCGGCGGAGCAAACGTAACTAATTTTCCGTCCTATCCCAAAGCCGCTGTTTAAAACGTCAGATGTGTGACGCGTTCACGAGCTCTGCTTTTTCTCATCTGCCACCAATTAAGGCCTCATTAACTGTTTACATGAAGCCTCCAAACTGATTGTTGTTAAAAATAAACCAATTAGGCTTGAAAAGATCCTGACTGCTGCCAACGCTGTCCTTCACTGGGAGAGAAGGAATGATTAACCCGACATTAATCTCTGAGCTTCTTTAGACTAAAGACTTGGCTGGTGGAAAGCAGAAAGAGAAATGATTAACATGCTTTCCTGACACAGTGACCTCATTTGAAGTCAAACAGGTTTGTAAGCAGCTAATCTAACGTCGCTAAAAGAAATGATCTTGTGTTTTTACGCCATCTGAAGCATCGTTCCTGTCTTATTCCAAGCTTTTCAAAGAAATAGGAACAATAAAATGAGCTTGTGAAGTAAAATTAAAGCCAAAAAAAAAGCTCAAGAACGATTCCCGCTGACTTCAGAGGAGTTAATGAGTGGAGGAACTTCACTCTCAAACAACCCCATCCTTTCATTCCCATCTTTTGTGTCTTTGTCTGAAGGCCGTGAACACACCTGTAGGTAAGGTTGTGTCGAGGTCAGAGTGCGTCTTCCTCAGCGGCAGGGCCTGGTGGGGGGTGTCGGTGACGGGCTCCAGGGAGTGGGGCTGGTGGGGGAAGGGGTCCCCAGGAAAGGGGGAAGGGGACGGGGAGTGCTGGAGGAGGTCGACGCCGTGGAATTTCACTCCTCCCCCTTCACCTGGAGGAGAGACAGGGAGCAGGGAGGTCAGCAGCAGGAAGCTCGTTCACCGTGAATCCAATTAGGTGGTGGAGATAAAGCAGTAGATCCTGACTGAGAACGTTTTGATTCTGCAAACGTCGTCTGATTCGGAATCTTTTAAGTCGGTTAGGACAAACATGATTTACTGCTTTTGTTGAACTCAGCATATTTATATAAATGCATTTGTCCTGACAGACAGTCTAACATGGCGGTGCATTTGCATTTAAATAACATGCACAGAAGTCACATCTGGGATAAGGGCTTCTGTTTTCTTCCTTTTACCTTAACAGATAAACAAACTTGCAAAAGCCCTATTTGTTGGATAATCTAAAACAAAACTTGTCCACAACATTTAAATTCTTTTTTTTAAAGCAGGTATGACAAATTCTCTAAAAATACCCAGAGGCACGGTCAGCAAAGCAAACACAGGCCTGGCGTGGAAAAATAACTTCCTTTAGTATAAAAGTTCTGGTGATAATTTCAGCCAAACGCGCATTTCTACAATTTGTAAGCAGCTAAGTCGTGACAAACTCCATTCAAGCTGCTGTCATTACAATTCAACATCTCCTGCAGATTGTAAAAAGCAGCACGTTGCTTCATCTCTGTGGTTGAAATCAGGAACACTGGCCACCAGGAAATAAAGATAATTAGTGTTTACTCTAAAATTCAACGGGTGAGACACATTTATAATTTGAATAATACGATGCTGAAGACATTACGCTTCACCGTTTCTTGAGGCAACGTTGCTCAAAGTCGCCTCAAGTTTGTTGAGATTTTGCGAACACTTGGAGTTCTCCTGAGCCAAACAAAGTCAAGATTGAACAGCCTCAGCTTCATATTTTCATATAATCCTTCATGTTTACGTTTCACATCCTGATCCAAGGCGACTTACGGCAGATGCTACCCAGAAACCTGCTGCTCTCCGTCCTCTCGTCTGTGCAGACGTGGATCCAGTGAGTCACCGGAGGCAGCAGGTTCCTACTTGATTATCTCAATGACATGCAGCGCCGTTTCTCTCCCATCTGCATAACTCAGTCAGCCTCCTATTAAGCCATCAGCCTTGTTTTATGGCAACAGTCACATTGGATGCAGTCTGCTGCTAAAATTTATGTCCTACAACAGAACGGCGCTGCTCCGTCTTGTGGGAGTGGGAGGCGGAAAAATAAAAAAATCAATGAGTCAAAACAGCAAAATGAATAAAATGAAGCCGAATCGATGAAGAAGTGGATCGGCGTTGCACGAGCAGCGCCAAAACAAACCGAGTTAAAGGAACAATGCGGCGTTTAGCGGAATACAAATCTGCTGCTTTGCTTCCTCGTGAGTGAAGCAAATTCGATAACTGTGAGTTTTGCAGACTTTAAATCGATGTGACGATGGATGGAAAGTGTAGAAACATGAAGTCTCCAAAAACGCAGACGTTCAACATCTGCCTGCAGCTGCTAACTTGTTGCCTCTTTGCAGGTTTGCGGATGATTCGACCTCCTTCCATTTCGTTTCTGCGTCTCTTTTGCACATTTGAGAAATGAACAAGCAGCTGAGCAACCAAAGAGTGTTAACGGACAAAATATCTAAAGAACGTCAAAAAGTTCAGATTAATTAAACAGTTCTCGCTGCGTTTCCAGAACAAAACTCAGGGAGAAGCAAGAAACGTTGAGCTTCTGCGGTTCAACACATCATTAAGACAAACGAAGCCGTCTGGAGGTCTTCTTCTCTGCAAATCACCAAACTAATGATGGAAACGGGAGGATGGCGACACTTCAGCTGGTGATGGGCTTTTACAGAAAACGAATTTTGGAAATCTCACGCCGTGGCTACGTGATCATTAAATCAGTGAAGCATCGACGACCTATCAACCCTGGCTGAGTGATCAGGATCATTTGGTTTCATCTGGATTGTTTCTGTCTCTCTTTGGGGATGTTTCTCTGCTTCACTCGTGGACTGAGGCGGCTGTTTGTCTTCTCGCCAACAGTCTGCTCACTTCACTCATTTGTCTTGTGTCTATTTTTCCAACAATCTGTCTACTTAGCTCATTCCCCGAGTGCCATCCAACGGCTATTCCCTCCTGTGCACGGATAAATAAAAGTCCAGCAGAGACGAAGCTATGACTCAGCCACTGAGCGGAGCTAAATACGACTTCCTATCCGGCTGTCACGCATTCACCTACTTCCCGCTGCTCTGTCTGCCTCTTTAATTCTGATGTAATTCTGCATCCTCCAGTCTTTGGGCTGCAAACACGTAGCACACACACGAGTGCCTGCCCGTCTTTCAGAGCTCCAAATCAGCCTCACCGAGCCATAAATAACGTTACTTCAACCGTCCGACTTCACCAGACTGAAAAGGCGACGAGTCGTTCGTCATAATGTGCCTCCAGCACGGCCACGGTGTCACCGGACTCCTGCTCGCTTTCAGACAGATGCTGTTAGAGACCCAGTTCTGGAGCACATGGTCCAGCTTTAACACCCCAAACGACAGTAAAACAGCGACGGTACACGTAGCTGCTCCGCGTTTTGAAATAACTGGACTTTCAGGGAGCTTTAAAAACAGGACAGCAGCATCAAAGCGCTTCTCACCGAACGAGGAGGCGACTCAGACAGCTGCCAAATTTATGTTTGGTAGGATTTAGACTTTTTTTTTTTTAAGGACACAGTCTATAAACTTTCTGGCGCCTCATACGTAAGGGAAGGTGCTCACATTTCTGACAGAACCAGCAAGGACACGAGAAAGTGAGGCATGAGTTAGGAGTGTCCTCACAGGTCTGTCTCCAGAGGGACAATGGTGGGAAACCGAAGATTGACGACTAAGAAAATGTTGAATTAAAGTTTTTAGGAAGCGTGTCCCTGAATAAACCAACTTTTCTCTTCCAGCTGCTGAAGCTGATTGTCCCGACAATTTATTTTCTCACCATTTTGTCTGTTTTGTTGAAGCTACATTTTGCATTTAACAGCTACGAAGGACAGAACTTTAGCTGCAACGCTCACTCTGGAGCCAACTTGTGCTCTTTGTTTGATCCAATTAGCCATCCGGGTTGCGGCCCGGCAAACGGATCCGTTCGCCACAAAGGGGACAATGCGGAGCCAAGGGGATTTGCTGCAGTTCTGAAAAGTTCCACCTCCTGTCAGGTTCCTGGTAGACGGAGCTGCAGGTAAGCCGAGAGGATCAGAGCGGCTGCAGCGCGAATGCTTATCTGTCTCTGCTCAACTCCACATCCACACACAAGCCTCCGACTCGCTGCGCAACACATTCAGAGCTGCATTCAAAAAATGGCTATTTAAGGCTCTGAGGTTCTTTTTTCTTTTTTCGTGTGAAGGCGGCACAAAAAACTGACATAGCGATATTTTGTTTATATATATATATACGTACTGGGATATGAACAGATGCAGGAATTTCCCCCCCAGATAAAAACTATACTGACAGAAGGAACCATCCTCGAATGATGAATCTGTGGTGAGTTCATCTACGTGGAAAAGGAACAACATTGAAGCGAAACTGTTTTTTTTTCTTGTGTGCTTTGGATAGCATAAAGATGTGGCTTTGCACTTGTCACACAGAGCTTTGTGGTGCTCAGCGAAAAGGTCGAACAAATTAGATGTGTTGCTCATGTGGTGTGCAAAAGCTGCAAGACTCAGAGAACCTGTTCTTGGTTAAATATTCCCATACAGCTGATTGGGGCTGCACGATTATGGCGAAAGCGATCATCATTTCAAACAAATTTTAGGATTATTTATTGATTTTAGAGACATAATTTTTTTTTGCACTTGCACATTTAAATAAACAAAACACTATACTCATACTAATGTACTAACCAGAGCATCTCAGTATAAGAAAAATAAAAGTAAATCCTCTCCAACAGCTCCAGCAAAACAAATATTAGTTTGAAAGAGTGAAATAGTGATTTTGTTCAATGTTCTCAATGGGCAGAACATTTTAAATGCTATAAATATTATATATTTAGTTCTGTGTTTCTCTCCTGTTTGTTCCTGACTCATTTCGCTGCACACATCGAATCAGTGTAAATGATCTTCTATCTACGATCTTCTATCAGTCGTGGAAAATGAGAACTATGTAAATCTTCTTTTGGCATCAAGCAGCAAAAAAAAAAAAAAGTCACATCAATCTTCCTGCAGTGTGACTGTTGTAGATGCTACATGACATACTGTACAGCACTAGTAAACAGCATTATTTTACTGTTTTTGCAGAATTAAATAAAAAAATCCTCAACGGTTCAGAGATGCTAATTTATTTAAAGGGACATTCTGACGACAGCTTCGAGGTCCAGGCGACACCCTGACCAGATGAAAGTCTGAACGCGTTAAGAAGCCGAGCAAAACGTTTGCACGCCGCCTGCCTCGCCGTCATTTAGTCTGTTTAGAGTAAGAAACGAGCTGCCGGTGCACAGGCTTCGTCCTTCGCAATGTCACTTTGTGCTTGTGTTTCAGTTTACAGCCAAGAAACCTGTTAGGAGACACAATTTCCTCACTTGGTGCGACTCAGGATTCCAGTAAGAGCTCCTGAATACGACACACCTGTGACGCTCAAAATAAAACCGATGGAACTAATCAAGACAAACTGAATGCTGTCTGTCTGTCTGTCTGTCTGTCTGTCTGTCTGTCTGTCTGTCAGCCTGCTCTGCATTCACATCCTTCGCCGGCTAAAGCACTTCAAGTCATTCATGAAAATTGCTGGAGCGAGATGTGCAGGATGGGAGAGACCGAGGAGGGAAAGCGGGAGGAGGAGGAGGAGGAGGAGCTGTGACAAAACGCTCCCTCGCTCTCCTCCATTCACCGCCTCCTTCACCGTGTCTCCCTCCGTCATCGCTTCACCTCCGTCGCTCCCTCCTTCCTCTTTCACTCGCTTCCTCTCCGATTCTTTTGCTGCCGTAAATTTTTCTTTTTATTTATTTATTTTTTCGGTTGCAGGAGAAGGAGGAGGAGGAGGAGGAGGAAGAGTGGCGAGTTACCATGGCAACAGGAAGCTGGCTGCAAGCTACCTGTTCGCTGGTTTACAGAGAAAGAAAGAAAGAAAGAAAGAGAGGGATGAGAGATGAGAGAGCGGGTGTCACGGTAACAAGTTGAATAAGTCTGGAGATATTTTATGTTTTTTTTTTTTTATTTCCAGCAAAACTAATAATGATTCAAAAAACAAGTCCAGAACCTGTTTTATCTTTTTCCTTTCTGCTACCGAGCTCCATCTTCATCTAAAAACATCACATTTATTGCTATTAACGAGGCCTCAGCGGTTCATGTGGCTCAAACACACCCTCCGAACACCAGCTGTATATTCATCCACCGCTAAAAATAGTCCCAAACAGGCAGGATGTTTACTCCTGATTGGGTAATGATGGATAAAATCGACCTGTGTAAATGTGTTTTAACCTCTTTACTGACAACAAGGAGCACAGAACAATCCTCTCCTCTCTCTGTTTCCATCTCTGAAGAAAGTGAGAAGTGCGACGTCACAGGCGGCATCGCTACACCTGACCTTCTCCTCCTCTACACGGCGGGTGAGGAGGGCGAGGGAGTGAGAGGGGAGGAGAAGGAGGCAGAGGGATATTCAACTATAGATGGAGAAGGAGGGGAGAGGCGCCCGGTGACGAAGCAGTTGCTATGCCAAAAAGCAGGAGGGCCGCACACACGGAGTAAACAAGGAGGAGGCCGGGTCGAGCCGAGAGGAAGCAGGAGTGTCAGAACGATGTAGCTGAGGGTGACCGCAGCATACTAACAGCTCTGACAGCGCACACACACACACACACACACACACACACACACACACGATGCACACAAGCAGAGATGACTGCCAGAGATGGGCGAGGGCGATAGCGAATGTGATCATAAGAAGAAAATGTTCTGGAAATGTTCTCGACGTCAAATCCTGTTTCTGAGGCGTTTTCACCCCGAAAGCTCGTGTCAAACGGGGATCTGTGTGTGTGTGTGTGTGTGTGTGTGTGTGTGTGTGAAGCCACAGCATGTCGACACCGTCCTGTGTAACCTGTGAGCTACGACTTCAGGCACGAACACACAAACCGAGGGAACCTTCATCTCCTCTTAAGTCTCTGTTAAATATTCCAAAGTGCATCATGAGAAGAAGAAACGAATCAGGAGCCTCTCATCCAGTCTCACCTGGTCAGCTCCAGTCATCCATCTGCACTTTAACTACAGCATCTTGACTTGTAATCTCTTACGGCACGTGTCGGTGTTTATGTTTTTCTACACATACGCGAAAGAAAAGACAAATGAGTGTAAGTCAGGATGCTAGCTGGTGGTTCTCAAGCTGAAGAAGGTTTATAATCATCCACAGTGCATCCACTGGTAGCTAGAAGTCCAGCCTCTGCAGGGTTCAGCTGCCATGTCATGAGTTTTCTAGTGAGATTAAAGTTTCAGGTGGACCTAAAATGATCATTATACTAACATTTAAGCATGACAGATGGGTGAAGCCACGGTGACGTCATTGCCTGAGGATGTTACTCATGGTGATACGCTAGAGGCTGAAACATACTCTGTTCTGTCTTCTGTTTTATCCTAAATGGCGTCATAATTTACAAAATGAACACCGTGCTGTCTTAAAGGAGGCTTGAAACTAGTAAGTAAGACCATGAACTCAATTGGAAAAAGTGTACTTAGCGAATAAATCAAGTGAGAAGTTGGATCAGTTTTTAAGTTTTGCAAACCAGAGGAGTCGCCCCCTGCTGGCTGTTTGAAAGAATGCAGGTTTTAAAGCATCTGGATTCATCTTTTATCTACAGTCTGAACATCAAACATGGTAGTTGTAACCACCTAAACCTAATCATAGTAGTCAATAATCAGCTAACGTGGTGTGAGCCTGATGAACAGTTTAGTTTTATAGCTAATCTGTGTTCCCTGATGACAGGACGACCATTCGTTTTAACTTTAAAGAATCATTACGCTATACTTCAGGTGATGTAGGGACACATAATCTAGCATATAACCATTTAGAAGCAGGTGTTCACTTCATATCCTCGTGAGAAAACACAGTAAAACGCTCTGATAACACACAATCAGCAGAATCGTAACAAGGAACCTGTATAAGAAGCTTTCATGAGAACACAGGGAGGCACAGACACAAGTGAAACGTCCCAGAAAAGTTTCTGACGATCAACTCGTTATTTCTGTGAGCTCCACGTTCGTCACCCGACCCTCCTGGAAGGAACTGGACGTGGTAATGAGACCAGCAGAAGATTGTAGGATCGTTTATGGGCCCACACTGGAGCTGTGGACGACAGAGTCAGATGGTGACTCATGTGAAGGGAGATTCTGTGATGCACACTGGGATTATAAAAATACACAACTCCTGCGTCTCTTGAGACCGACTCGGTTTGTTGTGTGCAGTTTACAGTAAACCTACGAGTGGACGGAGACGGTTTTAGTCAGAAGATCTTCTAAATGCTGCTCTGTGGGTCGGGCTAACTTTGGTCGTCGAGTATCAGTGAAACGATGAGTCACACAGACGTCATCTATCAGGGCAACGAGCGAGAACTCCCGGCAGCTTTATGAAAAACAAAAGTGATGTTTACATGAATCATTTAAAAAGTTTTTCCTAATTTGCTAACTGCATCACAAAACATACACCGCTTTGTGCCTCTTCTTATGTAAAAGCAGCCTAACATGCAGCAGGTTGACAAAAACGGCAAAAAATCAGATTTTTTTGGACAGATGTCTGCGTAGCGAAGCAGCTAACACTCTCATGATGCTAACAAGGCTCAGAATTGTCTGGTTTATGTTTGACGTTATGACAAACACAGATTTTTCGTTTAAAAAATCTAAAGAATTCACATTTATTTCAGAAACCTGTTTGGATTTACTTGCAAAGTTGAAATCGTGAGCCTTTTTTAGTGTTTCGGAGGTGATTTCTGCTTATTCAAGGGAATATTTGATTTGTTTTAGCATCTAATCGTACATATGAATGGACAGTTTGAAGCAGACAGACAGACAGAGTGCAGATTTAAAGGGAGCCAGTGTGTTTCTCTCCCGCTTAAACAACTCCGAGCAGCGAGAAACAAGTCAAATAATACCGACGTGTCCTCCAAAGAGACAAACTTTCAGATTTACTTCCCTTCAGTCTAATTTCCCATGACTCTCACTTTTACAGCTGTCACGGAGACGACTGCTCCCCCGAGAACGACGCAGATGTCACCGAAGGAAAATGTTTTCAGCGGCACATTTCCAGCTAAACGTCGCCAGTGTTTTCTCTTTTCCCACAGAAGTTATTTGGAGATGAAATCGGGTGCATTCTGGAGATCTGAACAGCCGCCGCACGCCGGTTCATTTCCAATAAGGGCTCATCTTGAGGGCTAATCGATTTAATTTTGGATTAGTTTTCAGTGAAGTTTCATATTGAAGCCATGAAGTCTGCGGCTGCAGCCGACACGCTGACAGCTCGTCGTAATTAACCTCAACACAGACGACCTTTCAGACAATCATCGGTTATTCTGCGAACATGATCGGCACTGATTGCTCCTGTGATTAATTGACCTCACAGCCTTCAAAGTGGTTGTTTTGCCTGAACACAGATATTTACTGTTTGTGACGCTGGACTCGGTTTAGGTTCTGCTCCATGTTGATCAGTCAGCTTGTCTGTGCGACCACATCACAGTTTGACTGGAGAGTCAGCAGCGTTTCAGAGGCCGGATGCCAGTCGTCTGTGTTTACACGCAGCCGTTTAAACACTTTGAAGCCTCGGCATCGCGCCGGTCCAGGCCATCAAACATTCATGAGCAACTCTCGGTACAAACGCTTCTAAGGCAAGATTCTAGAAACATTGCGCTCTCTGGCCCGGTTTTGTCCAGCGTGAAAGCGTCGTTTAATATCGCTGCAGTGACTCTGAATTGGTATTCTCACCTTTACTGTCAGAACAAAGCAGCAAAAGGGGAACTTTAAGCTGCACCTTCACCAAAATCCTCATAAGAATCAAGCCCAGATGCTACCGGTGAGCTGTTCTGTCGCACCTGTGACGTCGAGCGGTATGAACTGGGCCGGCGTGCGTCTTCCCAGGTGCCAGCGGGGCTTCTCGGCGACGGGCGGCCCGGTGGTGGCGGACGTGGCGGTGCTGCTGCTGCTGTTGTTGCTGCTCCAGCCCAGCGGGGGGCGGTCCGAGCTGCAGGGGGACGGGGACGGGGAGGGAGACGGGTCGGTCACGGACCTCAGGCCGAACACCGAGGAGGCGGTTTCATCTTCGTAGAGCTGCTTGGACGCCGGCTGGAGGAGGAAGAGGAGGAGGAGGAGGAGGAGGAGAGTTAAATATGAAGCCAAATAATAAGTGTGGCGATGATGCTTCAGGTCGTCTGATATAATCATGATTTATTTATTATCTGAATAAACACAGTAATGCATAAGTGGAATATCAGTGGAATAAATCAAACCAGCTGAAGAAGAAAAAGAAAAGGAACAAAACTTTGGTCATTTACAAGACTAGAGGAGTCGCTTTCAGTCGGGACTTTTTGTTTAATTTATTTAAAGGTGTTCAGATTCAGAATCAGCTTTAATCAGCACACAGAAGGAAGGAATCTGGTTTCAGCTGTTCAGGTGTCACCCCAGGAGTGAGCAAAGAAATAACAGAAATAGGAAAATAAAAAATAATAATTATCTATAGAAAGAAAAAATAATAAGATAACAAATATATACAAGAATGTACACATCTGAGCAGAACAAATGTCTACATTTGTTTGCAGTAACTCATTTGTCAGCGATTTTAAAACCTTTCTTTACAAAATCAGAGACGTTTTTGCAGTTTTCTCCATTTTCATTAAACTATCAAACACAGCTAACGACATAAAGTGAGAAGAATAGTTCTGCCTGGTACCACATTTCTAAAAATCTGTGTTTTTTGGTCAGTTTTCTTCTTGTTTTTAAACAATTTCTGTGATTTTCTGATTAAAAAAAGGACGTTTTCGTAGCGATATCCTACATTTTTATCGAGCATTGTTTGGATTTACTTGTAAAGTTGAATTTGGGAGCATTTTTTAGTATTTAGGAGGTGATTTCTGTGATTTTTGGATTAAAAAAGGACATTTTTGTAGCTATATCCAACATTTCAGTCATCTTATCTCCCAACATCATCTCCATTTTGATTCAGTCTTTTCTTACATGTTGTACTTTACATTCAACTTTTCATTCTAAAGTTCTTGTTTCCATTTAATGGTCCAGTTATTTTGAAAATCAGACAATATGTTGTTGTTTTTTTCAGTGGCTCAAACACATAAAAATAAATTCAATTGAAGCAAAAATCAATACGACCAAAAAAAAGATGCTGTCGGAGGAGGCCACCGGCGGAGGTCATCGTCTAATCTGCCTCCTCTGAAGGAAAATGTTTTGTCCTCTTTAAGCGGCTTCAGGATCAATAAAGCAGATAAGGAGTCAGGAGGGTAAGAAACAGAGATTAACAGAGAATAAGTGTTAAAAACATAAAGAGCGCGGCTCTCGTTTCCACCTGTCCTGGAGTCAGAGAGACGATGCAGGGAAGAGAACAGCGGTTTGGACTGTTAAGACGAAGGGAAAGTGAAATATGAGATGTGATCTGATGAGCCGGCGGGGACAGGAACCACTGGTCCGGTCCTGCTGAACAACAAGGTGTAATCTCAGCTGGGAGGAACGGACATCTGTCAGCTGTCTGCTATCACAGAGCCCTGAAGCAAGGCAGCGAGACGCAGAGCGCTGCTGCAGTCCTCCGTCATCGACCACGTGGCTCCACCGTAGACCATCTACAGCCTGATTCATACTGAAATCGTCCCAAACATTAACTCGCTGAAGGAAGCCATGCTGCAGCCATCTTGCAGTGAGATCACTGCGGGGGTCCATCAGGCTGGCAGGGAAATAGCCTGAGAGCTATCAGCAGCAGAGGAAACAGAAGAACCGGCTGCAGAGAATGAATCGTTTAAAGACACGTTAACGTTGAGCGAACCCCTAAAACTCCTGTTTACATCCGTCAGTACGGAGCCGCCTGACTAACAGCGCTGAAGTCATCTTCTATTTTGATTTCTTGTGAAGTATTAACGATATTTCCATCTGGAAGACGCTAAATCATTTGGCATTTGTTTATAGAAACCTGCTGAGAGCGTGAAAGGGACGATGACTAATTGTGGCGGGTGTGGAGGACGGCGAGGGAGACGCTGCACAATCGTTTATCTGGCTTCAGTCTTTTATGTGAACGAGACGATCACAAAAGCAAAGAGGCGTTTTGTCACAACACGACTTTTAGCGGCGAAACTACTCGTGAAACTGAAATAGTAATTTGTTGGATTCTGGGGGGAGGAGTGACGCTGCTGCATTGTGCTGCTGATTGAAACTACGAGACTCCTTCAATAAAGGCACTGATACGTATGTGCAGCACGGATAAAGTTCCCCGTCCTTCATCGTCCTGCGATCCTCAACGGTTCCGCTGTGGCTGATACGCACATAGATTTAAATAAAGTTTGCTTTGTGTTTGTGAATCATGAGACCGTCCTCAGAGCCTCATCATGAATCAGTCGTTGCTGTGTGATGAAAGTCCATCTGTTTGTGATGATGTTCCTGAGATGTGACGATCAGCACAGTTAGAGCAATAAGGACGAACGTTTCATGAACGTTCTCACGCTTTTAGAAATCATCAGACAGGAAGTAAACAAGATTCACACAGTCGACCCGAAGACGTGAATGAAATAAGCCTCGATGCTGAAGATGGTCTTTCTGAAGCCGTTACGGAGGCGGTTTGATCAAACTACAAACCTTCTCTTCTATATTCTCTCTGTTCTATTTATTATTCCAGATATTAAACTTTGTCTCTCGTTCTCGTAGAAACTCTTAAAAAGTGTCTCATGTGAAGAGTCTGCTCAACGCTTTTTACTCATATATGACAGACTTTGAACCAAATCACAAATTAACCTCAATAAATTTGAATGTTGTGACTAAAACCCTCCAGTATTATATATAATAATACAAGTTTACCTGAATTATTTAAATATGTTTACGGGTAAGAACCTACTTTTATAAATGTGGTGTATTAAAATATATTATAGATATTTATTTTTACTTTACTTTATTTTATTTTATTTTATTTTATAAAAACTAGCCTTATTTCTTGAGGGGAGCAGCTCACCCCAGTTTATATAATATGAATTTACCTGATTAATTTAAATTTTTTTTATTTATTCTTTAAATCAAGACCCAACAATATCATAAATGATACAAGTTGACTAATTTAAATAAAATGGTTAAGACTCGACAATAACTTATATACAAATTTAACTGACCAAATTAAATATTAAATTTAAGAACCTACAATAATATGTAAAATACTAGTTTTTCAGAAAACTTAAATTTTTAAGTTCTAGACCAACAAAAATTAAACTTAATATTAAAATTATTATTGTTCATATCTAGAAAAATATTCAAGGTTGGAGAAAACTGGTGAAATTCTCCTTTACTAAAGAATAAATCTGTTTATTCGAGCGTTTACTTCACGAGTCTCGACGTGTGTTTGGTGTTAAATAAACTTCACATGACATCCCGTAAGCGAGCGTACGTTAAAAACTGCTGCACTAGAATTACTACACAGTCATATAAATAGATCTGTTTGGGTCTTTTCCACATTTTGAAAATCTTAAGGATTGCAATTTTCTGTACAGCTGCACTCACAAGATCAGTAAATCAGATTACAGTGATTGATCTCTGATGGAAACACACTTTGTCCTCCTTCTAGATTTAATCAGAACATTGGCCTGTGTGGGACGCAGGGCTCCGGCTGACTGAAAACTAAAGCAGTGGATGACGGAGACTTATGTTCTGGTGAGCGTGCATTTGAGCATTTCTGAAGGAATTTGTGATGAAAACGTCTTTAATGATGCAAAGAAACCACAGAATCCAGATACATGCTGGAGTGGCTTTTATGGAGGAGATCTTTGTGTGCAAAGTGAAAATAAGGTCAGAAGACGTACAGATGGAGCGAGTTAGGGTTAATGTGACGTCTGGAGAAAAGTGGAAAAGGTCAGTGAGGTGGCCACAGAGTGAAGCTCAGAAAGGTGCATTCCCTCAGATAATCCTACGTGGAGCTCGTGTTTGTTTGCTTGTGATGAAGTCAAAGAGGTGCAAACATGAGAGAGAGAGTGCAGCTACCAGGAAGATGAAGTCGGGCCTCTTGCTGTTGAGGGAGACGGGCGAGCGGCTCAGCGAGGTGGACGTGTCGTCGGAGCTCTGCGAGGACGGATGCCGGAACGTCTGACCGGTCAGCTTGGTGTCGTACAACTGCTCCTCAAACTCTGCAGGAAAAACCAAAACAAAGTGAATGAGTAAAACAGGCAGCAGAGGAGTGGTGTGCACGGCTCAGATCTGCTGCTGCTGCTTTGCATCACCCTGCAGTTTTCCCTCCCGCGACTGCTGCTGCAACTTCTCCCGAGGAGCCTTAAAGAGTTGCAGTCCTCCGGCGGGCTCCGGTCCTTTCTTTCATTTACTGCGACTCTCCGTCTGTCTCTCTTTGTCTCTCAGCCTCGGTCTCGGTATCTGACTGTTTCTCTCTCCGCCAGCTAAGCCGGCTCTCCCTCAGGCCATTGTAAACAGATTCCTAACCCCCACCTCCGCTTCTTTCTCCTGCTCGCTGCACACACACACACACACACACACACACACACACACACACACACACACACTCCCCCTCTCAGCCGGCAGCCAATCCTTCACCCCCGAACACACTCCCGACCGGCTCCCTTCCCTCCTCACACCGTCCCGCTGGCAGCTTCTCTCTCTCTCGCCGAGGTAAAGAGTTTCCAGTTGAACTTGCTTCCCGGGACAATATGGATTCCTTCCTGGTGGCGTACGGTTGCCTAGCGACGCTGGGAGGCGGCTGACAGCGGCAGCCAAAGTTTCAGCATCAGTCGATTAAGATTTACGTCGACGATCAGGTTGAATTTCAGGCTTTCGTTTACTTTTATCTCGCAGGATTTATGTAGAAAGAAGTTTGGGATCGGTGCGTTTGGAGGCTGTCGATTGTTCATCAAACTTTAAATCTGATAACGTTTCATTTATTTTTTTCTGATGTGGTGTAATTAGATGTAGTGAGGGTGTTTCCTGCCAATCAAACATGGAATAAATGAGGTTTAACTGAGGGAGTAAAAGTCTGACTTTCAGGCTGGTGTAAAAGAAGTTAGTTTAGTGATTAATAGAGCTGCAATGATGAAGCAATTAGTTGTCAGTTTTTAAATTAAATCACCAACTACATTCATAATAATAATAATCTGACTCCAGCTGGATATTTTCTGGTTTCTTTCCTCCTGTGTGAGCAAACTCAGTACCTTTGAGTTGACATTTTTCCTATTTTTGGACTTTTTACAGAACAAAAATCAAATCGTTTAACCAAGAAAATAACAAACACTGAAGATAACGATGAGCTGCAGCCTCGGTGATAAAGAATAAAGCTGCATAAGATGACTGAGAACATTAACGGCACATTAGGAAAGCTGCACGACACCATTTGTTTTTATAAATTTGAATGCAGTCCACTAAAAAAACCCAGCATTTGAAGAGCCCTCATCTTGTTTTTCTTTAGTGTGTTTCGTTTGTTTGCAAAACCCAAAGACAAAGACAGTCATTGTCTCCTCATCACTTCCATCAGCACAGAGGTCAACTCTTGTAAAAAATGAGCGTTTAGCAGCTAAAGAGACAAAGACGAATGTAATTTATCACAAAATGGAAGCAATAGAGGCTGAGAAGCTGCATTTTCTGCATCGTCCCTGTCCTCAGCCTGGCAGCTCACCGTGTGGTTCAACGAGACCTGGTGAAATATTTCGCGCTGAATTTGCAGGACTTTGTGCAGTGAAACTCTGCAGCTCAGCCTCCATGTTTGTCTGTTCAACTCGTTTATAAATGCGAGTAGTTTGCGTAAAGTTTGGCAGGTGTCAGATTTAGGCGAGCGCAGCGAACGTGGGAGTGTTTTGGAGTCAGGAATATAGATTCATGAATAGGAATTAATACACAGCAGCAAATACAAAAAGATAATGATGTGTTTTCGTACGCGGGCAGGCAGTCCACCCGCCCACAGACTCTTTTTTTTTTTTGCAGTTTTTAATGGCATTTGGGATCATTGCTGTTGACATCTTCCTTCTGCTGAACTAAAAAGTGCCAGCAGCAGAAAAACGGTTTCAGGATCTCACTCATCCTGACTGCAATTATGCCTGCAAACCACAGAACAGACACAGGACAGCGTCTGCAGCCGTCAAACCTTTCTACAACCTTCAGCTCGGATTAGGACGACGCACTGACGCGTGTCGGCTGTCGCTTGCTGCTCAGTTGCTGTTTTCTCGGAGTTGAGTTTGAAAAGGTTTCACCAACTCCAGGATGGTCGGCGTTGTTTCACAGAGATGTAATCCTGACAGAGAGAAACTGGAGGTTCTCACAGGACGAGGATTAAACGCTGCTCCTTGTTTCGTGTCCCCGAGGTGACACCGAACATCCTCCAGCACATGCTGACGGTTAGCTTTATTACCTTTTAATGATATGTGGGAGAGAAACACGAGGGACTGGAGGACGAGAACAGCATCAGACGAGGTTCTGAAAACAATCCAAGCTGCTCAGATGGTTGAGAGGCTGCAGAGGCTTCCATGGTTTTGAGCGCAAATTCCTTCAAGAGAAGTTTGGGAAGTTTTTTCTGGAAACGCCAACGAGGTTTAGGATCCGACTGAGCAGCCTGCCTGCTCTCAGCCCGAGGCGAGCGTTCCTCCGCAGACTGACCGAGTCGATCTGGTCGGCATTAACGCTCCCACGCGAGAACGTTCTCGTTAATCCCAATGAGCATCACGCACGCTCTCGCCAACTCACAAACAGTCTGAGCAACACTGATCCAACACAGCTCACATCACCTGCTGCAGCGGCCGGGCATCCGCTCGCATTCATTCTCAAATACGTCACCGTTGATGACTCGGAAAGGGTTTGATTAAAGGTAAACAAATTGCTTATTAATGCAATATGGTCCGTTTTTACTCATAAGAAGAGCAATCACACCTCCAAGTCTTTTCGGACATTATTAGTCGGTTCAACGGTCCATCCAGGATCCTCCTCAACCTTCCAGCAGATTCTCATCCATCATGACCACTGATAATCAGAAAGTAACTCTGAACACAACAGCGTGTTTGGCGACCGTTTGCATTTTAACCCAAATCTTGTCCTCAACTTAACCGCCTCGTCTTGGTGCCGACAGTCGATCAAACACTGAGAGTGAATATAAAAGACTTTTGAGAGTAAAAAATAAAACTCAAGTCTCCTGGATGCAAGTCTGTTGACTTGCTGTGACCCCTGTAGCCTCCGACTTGTGTTCCTCGCTGAAAGAGATAATTGCAACTTCACTGCCATTAAATGGAAAGAAAACAACTTAAAAGCCCAGGAGATGATGAAGAAGGCTCCTACAGGCCTGTATGTGTGAGAATGTGAAGAACTGGCTTCAAATTATGCATCAACTCTACCAAGAAACAGTGGCACACACAACCTCACATAAAACCACGAGCTGTAAGCTTAGGTCTAGTATGAATTTAACAAATATTTAGCTTAAAGGCACTTTTAGGTGCTTTTTGCTCCTTTCAGAAACAATCGGGCTTCTTAGCATCTATGCTAAGCTAACTCACTGATTTTCCAATACTCCCTAATGTGGTTTTATATTTTAAAAGAATAAGTTGGTAAGTGTTTTTTTTCTAATCAACTGTTTGCAAAAGGTGCAACGACGTGCATCACAATCTCTGTCTGACACAAAACTACTTTCCTTGCAATTAACATTTCAGCATCATTATAATAAATAATAAACATTTGCATTCGCCAAATCCTCAGGAAGCTGTTTCACTTCGCAAGCAGCCGGCTGTTTGCGTTCGCGGGGGCCTCGTGATAGGGAACTGTCGATTTTGCAGCGTTAAAAATAATGGATTAAAAACGGCCCGAAATGCTGCATGAAGAAACAGCAGGATCAGCCGGTTAGCAAAAAGCAAAGAGGAGAAGCCAAAACTCATCTCATCCAAACTGCAGTGGCCCAAAGAAGTGAGGCGTCAGCAGGAGACACGGGGGGTAAACAGACTGATAATGGAGAAGAAGAGCCGGAGTGAAGCCGAGACAGACAGAGGACACGGGAGGGTAAAAGGAAGGAGATGCACAGATGGATGGATGGATGGGGAAGAGAGGAGCAGTACCAGAGGAAGTAGCACAACGAAGTAAGGGAGAAGTCAAGAAGCTGCAAACAGATGGAGAAAATTGCACGGAATGAAGAGGTACAAGGAAGATAATCATAAAGAACGGAGCCGAGCAAATCATCTGACAGCAGTGGAGGAGTAGGAGGGCCACAGTTAGGAGGAACAGGAGATAATTAGGGAGAGGCAGAGCAAGAAGTCAAAAAAAAGAAGAAGAGGAGAAGCAGTGGAGGGAGGCATGATCAAGAAACAGCACAGAAAATCAGCGAGAGAAAGTAGGAGGAGAGAAGAGGAGGGATTCACATCACCAGTGAGGCCCGGTCCGTCAGAACCAACAGGGAGGGAGTTCAGGACTGAAGGCTGGGTGTTGACTAAAAATAGGATCCAACACGTCTGATTAATCTCACATCCAAAACCATTCACTTGTTCCAGCAGCATAAACGGAGGTTCTGTTGCCCTTAAAACCAGCTCAGGAAGCACGGCTGCACTAATTAGCACTAATTAGCACGTCGTCTCGCTGATGTACGAACGCTGTCGTCGGCATATTTTAACGTGTGTTTCCTAAAATGTCTAAACACGATTTCACAGAGATATTTAAAAAAAGAAGACAAAAAGTTGAGGTTATTGGAAGATGAACACTTTTTTTTCCCACGGATAAACAATTAATTGCTAATCACAGCAATAATGATAAGCAATTACAATTAATAAACTTCTTAATTAGAAAGCAGCGCCTCCAGTGATGAAGTGTCACGAAGCGCTGATTAGTTCCATTGGTTGTTATTTACAATTTTTTTTTTATTCTTACATTTTAGCATCATTTTCTTACATTTTACTTGTACAGCGGATTAAAAAATAAGATTTTACATTGAAAAAACACCAGCAATGTGTAAAATATGATTAAACACCACAGAATAAATGACATCATTTACTCTCTGAACCCAACAGCAGGATTGAAAGGCGACTATCTTTAAAACCAAACTGCCAAAATTCTACTTTTTATCAGAAACTGTAAAAACAAAAAAAATATATTGAGTTTTTTGATAATCCTTGAACTAATCCTGTGTGACATTTGGTTCAATCAGGAGGAAAAAAAATAAAAT